CTGCACGGCAGCTGTATCGTTGAAATATTTACGTGTTGCCCGTACATGGGACGACCGTGATACGCATGATTTCATTTCGTACGGATCCACCTCTCTTATTGGGTTTCGAGTGAAATTTATGCGTACACGCAATAAAAAAGATTTCATAAATAGCATTTTTTCAAAGTATTCCGAAAAAGGGGGAAAGAAAAAGACATAAATTCTAGCTTGATTTGCTACAAAATCTGTCTACCAGAAATTTTGACATCAGAGGGGTCAATCACGTGTGAAATCTGGTGTACCAGTTCTGTGAAATCGGTGAAATCTTTGTATAACGTGTTTCCTTAAAGTTTTGGGCATTTCTCATAAAAAACATTAAAATTTAAAAAATTCCAATATGGAATTTATAAATAATTTTTTTTAAGTTACTTGTAGAATGGCCTCTACAGGTGTAACATCTACAGCTATAACACCCTGTGTGTGTTGCGATAATTTCTGTATGACGTTTTTATTTATTTAACATCTACATTAAATAAGAAAAGGAAATAAAATTAAGAAACGGAATTTTGTGAACAAAAATTTAATAATTAGATTTTAGATTAGATTTATCTACTTAATAACTAATTCAATTATTTTTATTTTTATACTGACACTGAGACAACTCATTACATTTAAAAAAAAAACGGAAATTTTAATAAATTTTTAAATTTAATAACTAGTAATTTATTAATTTTAAAATCAGTAAAATATTGTGTCAAACCGGTGAAAATTGGAATTTATTAAATCTTTCTGAAATCTGTGAAATCCTATGAGTCTGTGAAATGTATTGCACCAACTTTAGATGGTGATTTGCTCCTCATAATATTATGTAAAATATAGCTAGAACTACACTGATTCCTCAAACCCTAGAATAATGGTACCTTAAGAAAACGACAAGGTATCAAGCTGGAGTTGGTCTTATTTAACTTAATATAGAGAAAGCATCAATTGAAGGCTAAGAAGACTGAACAACAAAATGCTTTTTCTGGTCTCGTTTTGTTCGTTGCTTCCAAAGTTTGCAACAAGCAACTCAACCATGAACGTGCGTTTTAGCCAGTCAAGGTATTTTTCGAAAAATTGCGCATTTTGGAGTCTCCGTTGAAATTGCGCAGCAAATCTCTGTTTTATGAATGAAACTATAAAAAAATACTTCCTCGTCACTTAGAAAAGGATAATTTTCACTTAAATACTGCATTAATTTTTCAGCTTTCAACAACAATTCTCATTTTGTGAAAAATCTACACTCGCGGTTTTACATAATACCAAATAGTAACTGTGAACTGTCAAAATCTTTCTACAGAATTATAGACACTCGCAGACACCATATGCAGAAATCTAGCTTTCGGAAGGTGTTGACAGAGTCCGAAACAGAAGTTTAAATAAAAACTGAGGTCATATAGACCATCAAAAAAAAATTCAACATTTCGGATATATTCTACGAAACCTAAATAACCCCAAAACTGCCAAAGCTGTAAAGAGAAAATTCAATACCTCACAATTTCTCTGAAAATTTTAAAATCAAATTAAATATTCAAAACATTGAAAATCTTTTGCACCAAACATTTTAATTGGCAGCAACTTTTTTGTTTTTAGAGATATCAAGGTAAACAAAAAAACAAAATGTAGGGTTAGTAGCCAAGTTTTTTTCCAAAACGCTATCAAAACGCTATCAATTTTCTGACATATCGTATTCCGCTTACAATGGGGGTTGTTGGCTGGTCAACCCATAGTTCTGCGGTTTCCTATCCAACCCCTGCGATAATCCATGCTAACAAAATTTTTAACTTGCACAACATTGTGAGGAGGGGCTTGCTACCATAAAATCAGCGCTGATATATTTGGAGGTAAATCTTCTATATATTGTTCTATTTGGTGCTCTAAGATTTGCAAATAATGATTGCCAGTTAACTTTTGATCTATAAATATCGGACCCAAAATATGCCATTGATAATTGATTGGTACCCCTGGGTTTTTATTTCGTGTATTTGTCTAGGATTATTTAAAGACCAATATATATAACCCTTTCTTGTCGTGAACGAACTTTCATCAGTCCATAAAATGTTTTTCAAAAAATTATCATTCTCATTATGTCTATTTAAAAAATCCAAACAAAACTGCATTCTCCTTTGACATTGTTCTGCACTTAGTTTTAGAGTTTTAGATGCATTATATACTCCAGTAATAGAGGAAGCTGGTTGTGCTTTATAGAATCCTAACATGTTTGCCTTATTTTCTTCATTTAAAACATGATTTGTCCGGCATGCTATTTTAGCATTTAATACGTTACCGTTTTTTGCAAATTTCTTTGCCAGCCTTGGAAATATCTGTTTTGAAGGAGCTCGGCGCTCTGGATAAAGTCCAATACACTGACGACGAGATGCGGTTTTATATAATTCACTTATTCAAAAAGTGAATTATATAAAAATTTCCTATTTTTGCCGATTTGTCAAAAACGAGTGGATATACGAGGGCAGCGCCAAAATTTCCAGGCCTGAATATGAAAGAAACAAAGTAGAGTAACAATTTTTATTATCTTTCAATATAATCCCCCTTCGCTTCAATACACTTACTACACCGATTTATTATCAACTCAATCCCTCAATCCCAAACATTCTTTTGGTTTCTCTGCAAAATGAGCTAATACAGCCTCTTTTAACTCAACTTCGTCGTTAACCCCCGTCCACGTAAATCCTTTTTCAAAAATCCAAACAAATAATAGTCGTTGGGGGCCATATCTGGACTATAGGGAGGATGATCTATCTGTTGGAACCCACACTCTAAAATGGCAGTTTGTGCAACACCAGAAGTATGGACAGGTGCATTATCGTGCAAAAGATGCACGCATCTGGTCAGTTTTCGTCAACGTTTTACAAGTATGTAGTCTCGCAGTTTATGTAATAATGTTGCGTAATATTTACCACTGACAGTGGTATTAGTTTCTTTAAAATCTCTCAAAATAATTCCTTCACAATCCCAAAAGATCGTGACCATCACCTTTTTTGTTGACTGGCAGACTCTGAATTTTCTTGGAGGTGCTTCACCCTTACGACACCACTCCATTGATTCTTTTTTCGATACAGGGTCATAATAGAGAACCATAGCTTCATCTCCCGTCACAAGAGTTTCTATCACAGGCTTCGATTCCGACCTACAGAGTTCCAAAAAAGAGGAGAACTTTGGCCGTACACACCATCCAGCCTTCCTTTAATAATTTTAGGTGCTAACTCTTCTTTTGTCAAAAACTTTATGACTGCTCTATACGCAATTTGCGTTATTTGCGACCTTTTTCGGAAACGTCTTGTTTAAAATGCCGTCAATAAAAAACTAATTGACGCAAGACTTCAATTTTTTTTTCGCAGCCTACTAAGATATGTATCTAAAAGAAAACAAAGTTTTGTCGTGATACTGGAGCTGCATTTATGTCAGGTAGGGAAATTTTGGCGCTAACCTCGTATAATGTCATCGTTGTAATCGGAATAAGACATTCTCTTAAACAATTACATAATATACAGGGTGTTCCATTTAAAAATATGTGATGTAGGCTTATATAGGCACTTGGAAATAAACTTAGCCACTAACCCTACATTTTGTTTTTTGTTTACCTTGATATCTCTAAAAACGAAAAAGTTACAGCCAATTAAATTGCGATCAAGATAAATTGAACGCACGGTACAGTGGATGCCAAATTATTCATTCCGTTTCTCTTTGTCTTGTTCAAGTATCTTGATAAACGTTAAAGATACACACTTCTAACTAACTTTTTCAGAAGAAATGAAATGCGATGTTCGCATTTTTCAATTCTGCATGTTCAAAACCCCTCAGGTATTGAATTTTACCGTTCCGGCTGTGGCAGTTTTGGGGATATTTAGGCGTTCCGGTATTTTTTTTAATTCTCCTCAAAACAGGACTTTTGGAAATAAATACTTGGGGATATTAAACTTTGTTATAAAAAAATACTACGTTAGGGGTTTTCACTCTTTGAACCAGTGCACGGAGGCCATCGCGATAGGAAAGGTCTCCACGGTTGCCGAAATAAAAGGTAAACGCGGCAACACCGCCCTGGAGTCGGGTTGAATGTCATTATTTTTGTAAATCGTGTGGTCTGTCGAACGTGAGATCGTCGGCATTCAATTCACGATCAGAGCTGTCCTGATGCGACCATATTTAGCACAAGGCGGTTGATCTTGAAACATTACGTCCGATTATTTATTGCCGAACGCAAAGCGAGAACAGGGCCAAGTACCGGACCGTGCGGAACTCCTACTATAGAATTTTCATATTCGAGTTAGTACCGAAAAAGCAATAAAGCGGCGCTATCTATCCTTGGGCTTTGGGCGGAACGTCACGAAGTACCTACGCCCAGATCTCGATCGGTCCATAGTTGCGGGTAGTTAAAAAAAAATCGGATTATCGTGATTCAACTTTAAATGTCAAAACAAAAATTTTCGCCCAACACACCAAACGAGCTCGCGAAAATTGCGACAGCGACCGTTTATAGGCAGCACGAGAGTTTATTTTTCTGTTTGCACAGCAATATTCGTTAAGCGAAGCATTATTATTGCCGATTCGCGTGAGGTGCAAATTGCAAACGCGCGAAGAATCCGAAAAATGACTGTTAATTACAAAAAAACACCGACAGGAAATCAAAACTTATCTCCGCGTTGACAAACTGGCTCTACGCTTGCTAGATCGCAAAACACTTTGACCAAATAATGAATTCAACTAATTCAAAGAATCCCGATTTTTTCGTTCATTTTTTGTAACGATTTTTGTCGAGAATATTCAAACAATTAACCCGCAGGTACCCACTAACAAATTTTGGAAATGTAATTATCTGCGTCGACCTTGGTCGGCGTTTTAAACGTTTCTGTATTTTAATTAAAACGATGTTTACACACGTTTCAAATCCGATCCGAATTACAACGAAAAAAAATCAAAAGCGGACGAGGATGTTCGACGAGGTTAGGTTTAAATGTACTTACCGGCAAAAACTCAACACGGCACCGACAGTTTTCTTCAGGAATCGGCGAATCGGCTTGGTCGAGAGTCTTTAACAGAAAAAAATAATAACCGTTGTCCGCGGTTAAGTCGCGAAAACTGGCGCACTCTTATCAATTCAACAAAGGACCATTTTCATAAATGAAATCTACCTGATCGGAAAGCGAGACGCGCGAAGAACGAACTCTTTGTGTCGGTCGCATAATTATCACCGGCCACCAAACCACTACGAGATCGCACAGAGGTGAAACAAAAACAAAAAGAGAGCAAAACCCGACGATTTCCTGCTCGTTGCCCGGCTAGATGGGCCCGTGCTTGCGCTAAGAACCAAACAAATAAGCGGCGACGTTGCCACGTGTGGACGACGAAGAGACGTTTGTGTGGTTGCCTACCGGACTCGCGGCGTTCGTTTGCTCCGCTATCGGTTTTGATTCTGACATGGAAATCGCGTTGCTGCACCGAGTAGCGGCGGGATAGCCGGCGGCGCGATGTGGTGGTAGGAGGCGGTCGGAGCAGACTCTGTGGAGCCTCGTGTCACGGGGATGGAGACATCGAATCTTTTATGCTGGGGGTTGGTTTGATTTTCTCGTGGTTCCGCATCTTTATTTGGCTCCATTTTACTCCGCGGGGGGGGTTTTCTTTGATGAAGGATGACGTTTTTGGAATTCCCATCGACTATAGCCGACCATCTCGAGATTGATTACTATTCCCAAGTTTTTTATGCGTCTTTTATTTTATAAGTGTACGTCCTAACATTTTTCTTAAAGGTCACTTGATTCAAAAACTAGCCAAAACTAACCATACCGCGGCGTTGTTCCATGGATACCTCGAATTGTTTTAAACTTGGCAACATGAAACCGTTGGCCGTTTAAATTCTTATGACAGCGGATAACTAAATACGACTGACCAATTTAAAGTTCCCTTTTGCCCACATCTGCAGGAAAAGTTCGATTTCATTAAGGACGGGCTACTTCTTATCGAAAGCTTGGGGTCTTTTTTAAGTTACGCTGCCGAAATTGATGTGACTTTAACGGTCTCAGGATTACATGCAGGTTTTTGGGATTCGCAAACAAGAAGACGCCGTTTACTAGACACTTTTTATTAATACGTGGTAATTTCGAATGCGAATTTCTCGTGTATTGCACCGATTGTTTTTGCTTGTTGTGCGTAAAGATGACTTTGTGGTCTGTGTTAATGATCGGCGCGTGGATGTTTCCATCAAGTTGGCTTTGAAGCTGTTACGTCAAAGTTTTCATGAAAATTAGATGTCGAAGTGCTTCTTAAGTCGACGTGGGAGACTTTTAATCGTCCACTCGTTCATTGTGCAAACGTATTCACCTAATTTCAATAATCCCACGCGCAACGAGAAGTAGTTCCTGCGTACTTGAAAAAGTAAATTAGTTCAAGTTTATTGTGTAGCGTCCCACGTGGATTCAGCGATAATTAATTAGACGTGTTAAGCAGGGGAATGTGTGACAAATCGACGGCGCCTTTGGACATAAGGTAAGAACCGCTTTTTTCCTGCGTCGCGTTTCCCTTCGGCAGCATATTTTGCAGTCGCGGAAGTCGGTATTATAAAAGCCGATAGAAAATAGACCATCGCGGCCTCCTTTTCAATTTATATAAAGTATACGGTGCGTTATGCCGATTCGACTCTTTTGTCCGAGTTTTTGGGCCGCTTTTGTTGTCGCGGTCTTGTTGCCGCTTTTGTTACTTACTATAATCACAATGAGCACTCACGGTCCCTTTTTAAGAGCAACAATAATACGCCGGGAACGGCAGCGTTTTCATTTACGTGTGAGGGTATTAGCGGCTTGTCGTTAGGGACTGCATAATGCATATGTTCCGCGCAAAAGCAATTTGGAAAATTTAGTGCCTCCATAGTTTTGTTCATAGTTTCCTCTTTAAATTAGGAATTTCCATATTTCGTGCGTTAAAACCGAAACCGTATCGATTGGGCTTGAAGGGGAGGAAGGGGTTTCCCATGTTACGTAGTAGAATATTTGCGGTTTTCGATTTAGCGAATTTGAAGCTTTTATGCAGTTATTTGGCGTTTTCTTTTACTTTTCATGTGTTCGTCTAGGCCAGTTTAAATGTTGGATATGAGGTTAAATATTTTTATAGAATTCGTTAAATCTGAAACTGATGAAATTTTTGTGAAATCCCTGCAATCATATGTTTATATGAAATCTGGTGTATCCATTCTGGTTGATGATTTGCCTCTCAGGTGAAACCGAGCTTCACATTGTCGTATTGCCATTTTAGATAATTTAATTTATTTAAAAACGCTTTATTTATGCTTTATCATTAACAAAAATATAGTAATTGTCCCATAAAATGAAAAGAGGAATGAATATAATGGACTCTAATTTGCCGCGTTTTCTTGAAAAAAAAACAATTTATAACTGTATGATGCAGGACATTATTTCTAGAGGGCTTTTGAGTAATTTACATAGATTGTTTAAAATCTAGCTCTTCCCTTTTTAGGATATATCTACGGATTCAATTATTCTATAACTCTCTTCCTTGTCAAATTATATTTATTTATATTTACTTATTAATCTTAAGAAAGTGTTCGATGTTGTCAGTATAGATATTTATATATTATGGGTTTCAGGGATAGTATTTACCGGCTAATAAGAACTTATTTATTGGATAGAAAACAATATGTTCAAACAAAACAATGTTAAGAGTGAAACGCAATGAAGTGTATGTGGAGTTCTTCAGAGTTCAGTCCTGGGACCATTGTTATACTCGTTATATGTTTTAAATTTTCAGTGTGCAGGGCTTATAGCACGGTATTGCACATAAGCAGACGATACAGTGCTACTTTATAGTGGTGAAAGTGAGAATGATTTACAAGAAATAATACGTTCTGATTTAAAAAAAATATATGCACTGGCTTTTAGGCAATAAATTGAAAATCAATATTGATAAAACTAAATACATGTCGTTCAAGCAAAAAAACAAAGTAATACAGATGCCAAGATTAAGTATTCAGAATATAAATATATACCGTGTTAAAGGAATTAAATATTTAGGCCTACTGATCGATGGTAGTCTAAACTGGGCCAAGCATATTAATTTTATATCAAATAAAATTTACCCAATGGTCAGTGGCATATATAAAAGCCGAAATTATCTGAGTTACGGTAGTAAAATGAACATTTACAATTCTTATTTTGTATCACATATGATATACCTACTACCAATATGTGGCGCAACTTATTCTAATAAAATACAAACTCTACAAAAGAAATTCTTAAAAATTTTCATTTAATTATGATCGTCGCACGCACGCAGAAAATTTGTATAGAGAATTGGACATTTATAAAATAGACAAAGATCATAAACAATATACAAAAGTCTAGCATGAAGATTATATTTAATAAAGACGTTCACATATATGACACCAGATCTCATAACGATATTTTCAGTTATAATATCAGAACTAATCAAGGTCTTTCCAATACAGTATTCCAAGCAACATGTACTTATAATAAGTTTCCAGAAAACTTATGTATTAAATTCACTTCAATGTAAATTTAATATAGGTACTCTACAATGTATAATAATAATAATATTATGTAATGGGTTGTATACTTACCTTGTTATTCTATTTATCCTTTTTATGAATTTATTATTTCTATTCACGGAATCAGTGCTTTACTCACTGTTTAAAGAATTCTCAAAAAAAAAATTTGTAGTTAATTAATTAAATAAAATGTGATTTTTCTAAAAAAAGTAAAAAATGTATAGGTTCAGGAAAAAATAATAAAACTAATTTTCCTATTTATTGACCTGAAATGGCATAGATATTGTTGATATTGCTTTGATTCCTATATGGCAACTAATGGGTGTTTTTTTTTCGATGCACAGAACTTTAAGTTGGCATTACTGTTCAAGATGGCTACTGATTTAACAGCTGTCAAGTGATTTATTCTCAGTTTGGTTTGGCGATTCATCATGAATAGACTCACGCCTGAACAACGCTTGCAAATAGTGCAATTTTATTTCGAAGATAATGGTTCTGTGCGGAATACGCGCACTACGTCCATTTTATCGTTGACAAAATCGTCCATCAGAGCAGTTAATTCGATTGACCATGAAACGTTTTCGCACTAAGTTTACTCTTATTGACAACTCGCATCCCCAGAGACGCCGTACGGTGCGTACAGAAGAAGCTATTGCTGCTGTAGAGCGTAGCATTGAGGAAGACCCGAATGAGTCCATACGCCATCGAGCACAGGAATTGGATCTGTATCCATCCACTTTATGGAAGATTTTGTGCAAGGATCTTGGTTTACGTGCTTACAAAATCCAACTCGTGCAAGGATTGAAGCCAAACGATCATCAAGTAAGGCGTAGATTCGTCGAATGGGCCCAAAACGAGATTGCCGTTGTTCCCGATTTTCATAAGTGAATTTTGTTTAGCGATGAAGCGCACTCCTGGTTGAAAGGCTACGTCAATAAACAAAACTGCCGCATTTGGAGCGAAAATAATCCTCAAGTGTATGTCGAAACACCGTTACATCCAGAAAAACTGACTGTTTGGTGCGCTTTATGGGCTGATGGAATCATTGGTCCGTACTTCTTCAAAAACGATGATGGCCAGAACGTTACAGTCAATGGTGATCGGTATAGAGCTACGATTACTAACTCTTTCATTCCTGAATTGAATAACCATGATGTCCAGGAGATGTGGTTTCAACAAGACGGCATGTCACACAGCTCGTGCCACAATCGATTTATTGAAAGACACGTTTGGTGACCGCTTAATTTCACGTTTTGGATCTGTGAATTGGCCTCCAAGATCTTGTGATTTAACACCGCTAGACTACTTTCTGTAGGGCTATTTAAAGTCATTGGTCTATTCGGATAAGCCACAAACGCTTGACCAATTGCCGTGTTATTGTCGATATACGGCCACAAATGTTGGAAAAATTGATCGAAAATTGGACGTCCAGATTGGACTACACCGCGGCATGTAATGCCACAAGATTATCTTTTGGATAAATAAAATTCATGTCAATCGAATAATCCATCGTTGTTTTATTGCAACTCAAAGTTCTATACATCGAGAAAAAACACCCCTTACAAGAGAGGAGACTTAAGAAGCTAATCACAAATTATTTAGATCCTACAGGTTGAACCAAACTTCTATGTGTGCTAATAATGAGGATGTTTACTTGCTTCCGATAATGTAGTTGCCTGGGACAGCTCTATAGTATCTTCAAAAAGTGATATTGTGGAACGTGTCTTTATAAGTTTTAGATTTGTCCAATTGACCTCAGATTAAAATAAATATTAAGAATTAAAACAATATTTTATGGACGTCTGTCGAAGATTTATATTGAGTCACAGTTTGGAATACTATTTCTGTAAATCCCCACAGGTGCATTGTTTATCATCCATCAGAGTGGTTTTCTCTGTGAGGCGGAGCGAACTGAAATTTGAAAATGAGAAATGATAATTTTCGCGCGTCCCTCCATGCCAAAAAAATGCACGCCTCGATAAAGGCTCTTTCATAATTTTATCGTCTAGCTATTTTCAAAAAAGCCATTACGCTTTTATTTCTAATCGAGTTTCTAATTATAAGCACGCTTATTTATAACGAATTATATTTGTAGATTTGAGTTTGCTCCAAAGTTAATCATTTCGCGACCATTAATTTTGTCTATGGCGTCTTCGCGTCCGATGCCAATGAATGACGGGGGGGCACAAAAAATAACGTATCGTAGTCAATTAATGACGGGGCGGCGTACAGTGGTTTCAAAGAGTTAATTCTCGGTCAAAAATTCCAGCACTGTTGGAGTTGTACCAAAATTGATATCTGGGGTGTGACAAGCTCTCTGATCCCTAGTATGCTCAAAAAAATATCATTTACAAAATGGCGTCGGTTTTGCTCATCCTGTTGGCTTTTTCAGAGCTTGACTAAAACTGGCACGTATTTTACTCTGTACCTGCTTATATATTGTTTGAGGGGGGCGCTAATGAGAGGCATGAACACCGTCTCGGGTGACTGATTCCCAAAATTGGTGACAGGTAGAGACCTGATTGTTTATTATTGTTGTTTATAGATTTCTATAGACTCTCGGATTTTGCGTTGGTAGAAGAACTGATTACATGCAAGAATGAGTTGATGAGTTTATTTGTCTTAGTCGTAAGGCTCTTTCGTGTTCTTTGAATCTATTTGATATTTTTCGTCCGATCTCTCCAATTTATTCTTTGCCGCATATGGATGGAATGCTCTAAACGCCTGGCATCTCAAATGCAATTTTGTATTTGACGGACCGAAGATGTTGAGAGATTTTTGGACAAGTGATAAATCTGGTTTTGACGTTATACTTCTTAGAACTTTTGATATGTGGTTCGTGATGTTTTGAATGTAAGGAAGGATCACAGTGACAAGTGTAGGATTGCTTGACTAAAACTAGCACGTATTTTACTCTCATACTTGTATATTGTTTGGGGGGACGGAACAATGAAGCCGACTATGAGAGAAAATTATTTGATAAGCTTGTTAAGAAAGAATAATTTGACATTAGTGTCATAATGACATAATGTCAAAAAAATCGAAATAATCGGATTGTTTGGTGATTTTGTTCGTAGCAGAGAAGCTGCTATATCTGCTCGCATTACACGTGAAAAAACGACCGCCATAACTGGCAGTGTTACTAGCTGCAAATCGAGCAAATCAAATTTGTCACCAAACCGGATAAACCAAAGTTCTTACATAGATTAAAAGACAGTTATGAGAATAAAAGATTGGATTATTGTTGTTGTGCCCAAGTTAATTTTATAAATGACATCCACTTTCTGAAGAAGAGTATGTTTACAGATGAGGCTATACTGGCCACCAATGGGATGTATCATCTCAAAATTGTGGATATTGGGCCAGAGATAATGCCACTGGGTAATAAATTGTAAAGATCAATATTCCCAGAAAGAAAGTCGATGTCCGCTGTGGGATTTCGAGAGACCAAATAATAGATAAATAATAATAATTTATAAAACAAGTCTCAGAAATCAAGATGAACTTTGTGCTAGAATGAGACAGACAGAATCTCAAAAGAATTGAAAAATGTATTTATAAATTTTAACTATGAAAATTCTAATTTTAATTATTTTGTTAAATTAAAAAAAAATTGTAGCTACCACTAAAAAATGACTAAAAATTATTATTTTCTTAAAATAAAATTGTTATTCCTTTGTGTTAGTTTAATTTATCTTACTGAAAAATCTTAATTTCTATAAATTGTATTTCCATGCGTTAGAAATTTATGGCTGTGTTATTTGTGACGTTTTTTTTTTTTCGCTCTTTTGTCTGAGGAATATGCAATTATTATTTCGATTAATTTTTACAGTATAGGAGAAAAAATTGGATGTCAGTTAGAGTTCATCAAAAAAGAAAATTTCTGGAATAAAAAAAATATATATATTCAAAATTAAAATTCATCAAAGTAATGAAAGGATCGATATTATTATACCTGGTAGTGTGCTAATTGACGTGGTGGGCGTTTGATATGAAATTTATTATAATGGTGAATTAAATTAAAATTTCGCGGTACACACCCTAATCGCTATATGCAATACACAAAGGCTTTTATCGACCCTACGCGCAGTGTGTATCGCTTTAACATTTTAATTATGTTTGACTAATTAATTAATCTTCATTGTAGTGGAGGTTGTCAATAATGTTACACTTTATATACTCGAAGGTGTCGAATAGGATATAGATAAAAGGAACATCCGACGACTTTATCGCCATTAGTATGGGAAACTAATTTTTAAATAGTAAACAGTCTTATTCTCCTAAAGCCCTTATTCTATAACTCGTTAAATAAAATTTTCCAAACAAACTTCCGCAGGCTACTGTAATACTTTTTATAAAACTCCTGGATTACTCCTGCGTCGGTTTTTGCAGAGTCGAACTTGCTGACGTTTCGCCAATCATCCTGTTGGCTTCTTCAGAGCTTGACAGTTTCAGTTTTGATGAGGCTGCCTTCTCACTAGCATTGTCATTTTTGACTCACTGATATCAGAGAATCGTTTACGATGGCTGCTCTTCAGATATAGTTGAGGTATTGGTATTAAAGGGGGCGCCCCGCGGGCGTCCAAGCACTTAGGCCACCAAATGGGCCCGTTGTGCCCCCAGATCTTGCTAGAGGGCGTCCACAATGCCACCTCTCCTATAGAAGGTCAGCAACTCCTTTTAGCCCAATACCAATCAGGACCGTTCCGAAGACTCCAAATCTTGCCCAAGTCAAAGCAGGGCACTCGGTGAGCAGATGATGCCTAGCAAGCAAAAATGCCTCCCAAGTCTGCAATGTCCTGTGTAGGCCCCCGTTAGTGCTCTACACTCCCTTCTGGTCAGTCTAAGCAGCTCTCCTTCTAGACTTTGACTTGGACAATCTCTTAAAAATTTGAGATAGACACCGTGTTCAAATGAACCCAACCATATCGGTAGCTCTGTTATTTTGTAATGACAACATTCGGGAAGAGTTAAGTAGTACAATCTTATTTAAAATTTCATGCCAAAACTTAGGTCTTATTGATGTGAGTCTAAAATTTAAAAAACAAAATTCTGGTATGAGACTAAGAGTTTCCTGTAAGCTTGAAGAGTTGGGACTGCTTTTGATGGTTAAGTTACGTGCTTTGCATTCGATATGTCTGTATGACAAAATAAAAAAGTTAAAATGTTCTCCCCACCTTCATGAAATATTAACATACGGTACGGATGTTCACAACATTTGTTAATTATACAAAAAGTGCGTCTCTTATGAGATTGCGATTATAATTAGTAAATATAAAAAAAAAGATATTCCTCAATCTACCTGCTCATTAAAAAGACACATGAAATGTAAATTTTTGACACGCATAATTAGCATTAGCATTAGCATTTTGCTTAAGTAAAGAAGCATTTTTTTTTCTCTTTTCCTGTAGCCCTGTCTTTTCTCTTTTTTCCTTCCTTTCTTCTTCTTTGCATTCTTCTTTACCGTTCTCTGTATAAGGTAAACCTCAGTTATTGTATTTAAGTAGGAATATGAAAAATTGTAATGTGTATTATTTCTTCGGTATCAGTTTAGTTGGCTTGTATGATGTCTTGCATTTAGTAACGTTTCCGGATTGTCTCTTGACTGATTGATTGCCTGTGAAATCCTTTGCCTAAGTTTCACGACGTTATTACAAGAAGTTCTGTGTACGTGATTTTCTATGTGTCTCCAACAGAAAAAAATCCGTTACAGTTAAGTCGGGGCTGTTGACTGGCCAATCCTCTATTCAACCCCTGGGATATTGCATGTTAAGAAAATTTTTAACTTGCACAACATTTTGAGGAGGGACACCGTCTTGCTGCCGTAAAATCAGCCCTGATATATTTAGGGGTAAATCTTCTATATATTATTTGTGCTCCAAGAGTTGCAAATAATGATCTCCAGTAAACTTTTGATCTATAAACATCGGAGCCAAAATATGTCCATCTATGACACCACACCATACATTAATTGATTGATACCCCTGGGTTAGTATTGGTTAGTTTGGTTTTGGGTTTTTATTTCGTGTCTTTGTCTAAGATTATTTAAAGATCAATGTCGCGTACGACAACCCTTTCTTGTAGTGAACGAATTTTTATCAGTCCATAAAATATTTTTAAAAAAATTGTTATTCTCATTATCTAGCGTGCGGGAAGCGTCACTTTTCCACTTCAGTTTGCTTTTCCACGGATCAGACATTTCCGGGATTTTACCGCACGGGTTTGGGAGCAATCGGATATTTTCGGTGATATTTCCCACGCTTTGAATTTTGAAGTTTGTCAATTCTGACGGTCATGTCAGTGAATGTATTCGTGTTGTTTTGTGAAAATGTATCCAAAAATCCACCAACAGTCGTAGAAAAAGTATATTATGCAACACGTTCGGTAAACTTTTGAACTCCCTCGTTTATTAAAAACACTCGCTCCGCTCTTGTTAAATAAACTCGTGAGTCAAATGCCGCATAATATGCTATTTTTTTGTCATTGTAATCGGAATAAGATATTCTATTAAACACATATATAATATACAGGATGTTCCATTAAAAAATATATGATGTAGGCTTATATATCAGAAAATTAATAGTGTTTTGTTTTAAACAAAAGAGTTACAGCCCATTAAAATGTCATCGAGATAAATGGAACGTACGGTACATACTATAATTTGGAATAATAAACATTATTATTATTATTATTATTATTATTATTATTATTATTATTATTATTATTATTGTTAAATCACCAAAATGTGTTAGATATAGTTCGAGTGGTTTTATCTGCATCTAAAGCGAAATTATTTATTATGTGACGTCATAAGTCAGTACGTCAAGACACTCGTTTTGATTAGCGTTTACGTTAGAATTATGAATAACAAAACATTATTGGTAAGGATTTATTGATGGAAACAAATACGTCACGTTAGATGCAAAATCCTCTCGGAATCGAAAGCTTAGGCTCCGAGCTCCTTGTACAATTGCGGCACGTAGCTATCGAACTGGGCGAGGTAGAAATTGCCAGCAACCGGTTGGCCCAGCTTGTACTTGTTTGCGAATTTTGTAGCGAAAAAATTTCCACGTTTTTCCACCGACCTGAAAATCGTCACCACCTCCCTTAGATACTTTCCGAGATTTGACCGAACGACGCACAATCTGGCAACGCAACGCGAAGCTGACGCACAATTACAGTGCGTTAAATTGCATTCTTATAAGCAGGAGAAGAAGAAATTTTGAGTTTGAGGTTAAGACTATGGAAAAGAAAAAAACATAAATCTGACATCGCCGCACAATTACAAGTTCGCGTCCTTGAACAGGATTCATACCTTCCGAGTACTGGTTCGTCGAATTTCAATTTGCCTGGTTGTTTGTAGACGAGGAAGACATATCTATGGACACCAGTCCCTTGAGGTGGTCCGGATCCGATATAGGCGGACAGGACCTCGCCCTTGGCAACACTGTTGCCGGGAATGTTGACGACAAGCCAATGGTGCCATTCCTGGTACGGAACGTCACGATGCCTGTTGTCGGGATCTGACGAAGTCGAAGTTGTAACAGTCTTAATTTTGAGTGAAATTATTTTACTTTACTGCCAAATTTTTACATCAAAATTACGAAAATTGCAATAAAAATAAAATTTGCATTGCGAACTTCGAAGCCTGCCGTTCCAGCAGCAAGTAAAAAAAATTTAGATAAATAAGACATTAGCCGATTGATAATTTATTATTAATTTTTACTTTCGTCGATAATATTCGATAAGACCGCAAAAATAAAGTCGTTAAGTAACACCCATTAATCAAAATTTTTGTATTTATTGTTTTGAAAAGATTGTTGTAAATAATTCTCCGCTTTATCAGTAAATTCGAATTAGAGGAATTTTGTTTGCCGAGCTGAACTAAGGAGAAATGGAATGGGAACTTGCTTGGTTCTTTCGGTTTTGGGCCTCACCTGTAAAAATCAACGTGTAGTATGCGTTCGGGTCCGCTTTCCACGAAACGCTCGGTACATCTTTGACTTGGGTCGGGGTTAACTCGTTGCCAAGGTTGACCGACACGCCGCTGGGGTATTTGATCTGAAAGGAAATGCAATTCGTTGAGGCCAGTTTTTAAAATACTGGACTATAAAATTTGTTGACTTATACAAGGCGTTATACGTACCGATAAGGTAATTAAAACCTTTTAATTTTTGAGCTACGTGGTGTTAAATATTGTTATAAAATTTTAAAAGTTATAGAACAACTAATGACTCTATTTTTTTTATCAATGCCATTGCTTTTTCTAAAATTATTTTTGGGTTCCTCTTTTTTTTTCCTTTTAAGTTTTTTTTTTCGGTGTTTAAATTCGATAGACCTCTACAATGCGCGAAAAGATTTTTTGTTAGGCATGGTATTGAACGTTTGGTAGAAAAAACTTACGAGGTTTGTCAATTGCCGATCAATTGACCTCATTAATTTTAATTTATTTTTTTATTTATATTTATTTATTTATATTTAAATATTTTGTGAGTTACGTCGGCGTCGCGTCCTTCTGGGAACGAAATGGAGTCGAAATTATTATTGGGATTTCCCAAATCGTTAAGTATTTTATTCGGATATTCCATTGGACATCACAAACGCACAATAATTTAATAAAAAATAAACATTATTATTAAATGATGATAGATAACAGTCTACAATTGCAAGATGTTATTTAAAACATTTTTTGACTAGTCAATTAAAAAGTGACGGTCGGTTAAGAAGTGGTCCCAACACTAATGTTCACAGCGTTCGTTGCCGTTTATCTCACCGTTTGCGCTATTCATCGTTATTTTGCCATTTATTTTCGTTTAGGCCTACAGTTTGGTTCTTCTTCTATTTGGAGTCCAGTTCCATATTTTCTTTGGCCATCTATCATCGGGCATCCTTTTCATGTGACCATAGCAGGACAATTGTTTGCTTTCCATTATTTCTGGAATAGTTTTATTTTTACTCCCATTTGGTTTCTTATATCTTCTGATCGTTTGCGGTCAAACAGTGTTGTTTTGCAACACCATCTCCAATACCCATTTTCAGTTGGTATTATCCTTTGCTGAAGTTTCGTATTGAATGTCTATATTTCTGACCCATTGGCAACAGATGGTTCTACAATTGAATTTGAAGTCTTATTTTTGTTTTTTTTATATCGCTCTACCTCGACCCAGCTTTTGGGGCATTTTTTTTGTCTCTACCGTCCTCTGAGATTGTGACTCCCAGATATTTGTACTCTGATGTTTTTTTTTAATGTGTCTATATCTGTTGTCGAGTTATTCCCACATTTTCCTGTCATCAGATATTGAGTTTTTTGTACATTTAATTCGAGTCGAGTTAATTTTCGCACTATACATCGTCTTCATCTTCTACAAGGAAAACTTGATCATCTTCGAATAGCATATCGTAAACGTTGTTAGAAAGCGTTGACAACAGGCAGCATTTTTGTCTGAGGCCCTTGATCAACGAAAATATGTTCGATAAACTTGTTCTTGATTTAATCTGACTCAAATTTTCTTTATATATATTTCTTCAAAGATTTTCACTTCCGTAGATTACAGATACTAAAAAGGTAATCAACAAAGGATCTACCTGATCGGTGAAGTGGGTCAAGGGCCTGGAAGGTAGAAATCACAAGCTGATACAATCTAGCAGAGATAGCAAAAGAATTAACCGAGCAGAGGGAAAACTATTCCTTTAGTCTAGCAAGACAATTTGTATAAAAGAAGAAAACTCTGACAGCAAATTACCTGGTCCGCCAGGTTGGGGGTTGGATTAATGTTCCTGCTCCTCATTATCCATTAAAAAACATAAAAATTGCAAAAGAGCCTCAGCGCCTACGACGCATGTTGATATTAAAATCTGTATCAGAAAGATTAGGTATTCAAATTAAACTTTCATAGTTTGGCATTGATTTTATTTCAAAGTTCTTTCTTTTTATCCAGTACAGGTGGTAACACCTACGTTTGGGTCAATTCGTAGGGTTTGCCTATTGTTATCTATTGACCAACACCACAAAATGGTGGGCCAAAGGCGTCCCGGTAGGAATTTTACTTCAACAGATTTCAAATTAGTCATTGTGTAGATAGTTGTCCTTCAAAATAAATAAGAACTAAAAGTTCATATTTTCAATCAGTCACAATTCAATTGTCTGTCCGTTCCAGCAAAGCAAGCAAAGACATCATCCACGTATCTACAGCACCATAGACAACTTTTACTTAAAGGATGTTCTAGTATGATATTTTCCGTAAAAATCTCGGCTAGCAAAGGACTAAGTGGGTTTCCCATAACCAAACCTTCCTTAGAAATGTAAATCTGCCCATTAAATTCAAAATAATTTTGGTCTAAAGATACTATTAAGTAATCTAATAAATCTTGTTTCACCCATGGGTTACCCTGTTTCCGAGTTAGGGTGAAATATACTAAATCTATGTCATCCATAGGTGGAATACTGGGAAATAAGTTTTGTACATCAAAACATAATAGTGTTGAATTAGAAGGGATTTTGATGTCTTTAATTTTTTATTGCAAATTTTGGTTTAAAATCTGTGTGGAACTTTAAAATATTTACTAATTTTGTTTTGAGTTTAATTGCTGGAGCTGTAAAAAAAACAAATCCAACAGTAAACTCTATTTATCCGAAACCTAATACAGAACACGAACAATTTAAAACAATTACAGACATAGCAGAACCCAGTGAAAAAGTTCCAAAACATTTGTCAAAATGTAGTTTAAAAATAGCTTTCAGAACTAACAACAAAATAGGAAAATTTTTAAAAAACAATAAAACGAAATGTCCAAAATCTCAAAAATCAGGTGTCTGCAGATTGAAATGCGGATGTTGTCCTAAAAATTTATATTGGACAAACATGTAGATCCTTCAAGAAACGCATTAACGAACATAAAAGAGCGTTTAAAAACAATAGTCTAAATTCTAATTATGCTACGCACTTAAACACAGAAAAACACATTTTTAACGACAATTTTGATATTTTACATACAGCCAAGTGTCAATATCAACGATCAATTAGATTTAAATACCTCTCCTTTATTGAACTTAAATTCTCACAACAACATTAATTAAGGTTTTATTGTCATTTTTCGGTATATATAGTAGCAGGTACTTTGTAAATATTACATTTGATAAAGACACGGTGTTGTCGAAACAATTGTCATGTAAAAAAATATATAATTTCGTGAAAATCTGAACTTTTAGTTCTTATTTATTTTGATAAATGGATTTTCATCAAGTAAAAACCACCTCGGTCCAATTCAAGTATTTTCCTTATTTTTTTATTAAACTATTTATTATTACCAGAAATTATTAACAATAAATCAGTAGCTTTGAATGTTTTATAAGATTCAGTTTCCTGGACGTATCTCATAAAATGCCATGAAATTTGTGCAAATTTGATATACATTTTTTTAAATTCAATATGCTTGGTGGTTGATCTGTCGATGGCTTCTTGTTTTCTCCAAGATGAAGTGATAAATGATAATTTGCGGTATCCAGAGTTACGACGAAATCAGTCGTAATAATTTTAGCAAACCTTTGATGCAAAATTGACGAATGTTAATTTCCTCCCTTTGCTTGCCAAACTCTGGTTATATTTTTGTCTATTTATTAGTATCGGATTTACAGCAATAGCTATCAAAAATAATTTTACGATATATAAGATATATAAGTACCGTACCTCCAGAATTTGGTCGGGGACAACTTCGACGACGTCTGGCACGACCCGGTGCTTTTCCATGGCGGCACGCTTACAGTTGACGGAACGCGCGAAATGTTAAATTTTTTACGCGACACTCAATTTATAAACATTTACTTATCTGGAGCAAAATTGCGCCGGTTACGGAATCGGGAGCGTGATATATCCCCCCGCCCCTCGGACGTGACATTGCATCGTTGTGGCGGAAATTCAATGGACAATTTGAATTTTTATGATAACTTCCAAGTGACGTCATCGATAGTGATTTTTATTACCAAGCTAGTGCTGTCGAATTGCGACCGGAATTCTTTCGAGCTTGCCTAAGAAAATCGATTTTCAAAATCATTTTCAATGGAATTTCGTATAGAAATTCTTCGCTTTAATATGCGAAACTGTTTCTGGGTCATAATTTTTTTTAAACATAAGATAATTTATGGGAAATATATAATTACACTTTCGAAAAACCTTATTAACTTTGTCTTCACAAAGTATAGAAAAACCGCACTCTGTATTAGGTAAATGTCAATTTTAAACATTCTCACTAAAAACTGATATGATTACACTCTGGATTTAAACTTTGAGTTTAGTCACTATAAAATGATGCAATTGCCCGTAGTTCGAGTTTTGTCTCTGACGGTATGGAACAAATGCATCAACAATGCATAAACTTTAACCTTAATTAACCTAACCTTAAACGAACAGATCACGTAAGTCGTAAACTTCACGATTTAAAATGGTTAAATATATCGAGTCGAGAGGAATTACATTTTGTTTGTTTTCTTCACAAAGTAAAATTAAGAAGTCCATGACCAAAAGCTTTTTCTCGTATACATCTCTTATACTACTTAATAAATATAGTGAGTTTGGTCAATCACAGAATGTCTCCTCTCATTGCGCGTTTAAATTACATTTAAATAAATATACCTAGATTGTTAATCACTCCTCTTTATCTTTTTTGAGATTTGAGTCTTGTTGGGTCAACCCTTCGTTGATTTTGTGTAATCAAAAAGTCTTTTCATTCTGTTTTTCTTTAAAAATTTTCGGCTTCAATTTTATCCATGTTCACATAATATCACTACCACTACTAGAGTCACTTTCGTCACCAATATTATCACTAGCCAATCTATCATTTTCAGGCGCCTCAATATAAAATTCATCGTCACTACTTTGCAATTCATTTTCAATGTTATCCTTTAATTTTACATAAACACGTCCTCAACGAAGGAAGCAATTTAGAAATATTAGAAATGAGCGTAGGGCATATCAGACCGGCCAACCTGCTGTAATGATAACACATGGTGTCCCTTTTTACTTTTATTAATGCTTTCTGTCACTGCTCACTTTGAAATTTTTAACTGTACTTTCTGTAAAGTATAATAAATTCAGTGAGTGTACTTTTCTTATGCAACAATGCTGAGACGAAATACGAAATGCTACAAAAAGCAAAACATTTTTTATTATTTAGTCTTATTAGTTTGGTTCTTTATAACAAAGTTTTGCATCTTTTGTTTTTCAGTTTAAAAAAAAATTTAAACAAATATTAAAAAGATAAAAAGAAACCTTTAATCATTTTATTTAAGTATATAACTTCACCTTCAGTTTACCTCTGTTTTGAGGTTTTGATTTATTTCGCCCAATATATCACACACACGCGTAAAAGTACGCACAGTACCAGACAAAACAATAATAAATGGCATGGGTATTTTGTTTTACAATTGGGGATGTTTCAATGGGGATGTTTTTGGTTCTCTTCCGGTGTCAACCACGAATTGATTCTGATCAATAAAAACCCAACGGTTTTTCCTTTTTCTCTAAGTTATAACTCAATATATTCAAATTGGGAAGGTATCGAGTTTTGTTACATTCACAGTATAGTAATATATTAATTATTCTCATTTCAATCATTCATTCTCATTGTATTTTTATTTTTTCCATGGCTATAGTTAATAAGTTTAGCATTGGTGTTTTAAAAATTCGGAGAAATTCATAAGGGTTTGGCAAACATCTACAGCTCAACCATAAAGTCTTCATTAATATAGAGAACATTCAATCTAATAATAGACTTAGGGAGCCTAATGCAATGCAATAAATAGATAATGATGAACAGCTATTAAAAATCAATCAACGCCACTGCGCATAAAGGTGATCGTTCGGTGACAGATTTTGGTCTGTTTGGAACAAACTCAATGATCGCACCACTAAGAACAAACCTCTAGCAAGATCTAGGAATTTTTGACGTTGGCTTATAAATTTTCGCTTCAACAATTTAATTAAATAAACAGTAACTGTATAAAAACGTCTTTCTGAAATGTTCGGCGCTTTTACAGGTCATAACATAATTTTTTAAGGAATAATTAATATAATTTTATAATTGAACTTATTCTATTTATTTTTACTTGGATTTCAGTCGAAAATAGAAATTCTGTTACAAATAATATTTGTTTCATTTCTATATATTTATTTAATTTTAAACCTTCTAGTTTTTTTTTCTACATTTTTATTGAACATAATGTTGTCTCTTGAATGTAAATGTTGTGGTCAACTAGCAAAAAGCGAGTGCGAGCGTGAATGTTCGGAATAGGGGAAAGATTATTATAGAAAATTGGAAAAATAGAATCGCTTTTCCCGATTTTTGGAAAACGGGTTTTTGGTTTCTGGAAAACATTTTAGCAAACACAAATCTCCTGAGGAATTAAATTTAATTTTTTTTCTTCGGTGCGAGGGGCAAATCATCATCTAAAGTTCATACAACCATGAGGTTTCACAGATTTCACAGAATTTTTACCGATTTTCAAATATGTTTTACCAATTTTACTGATTTTGATAAATAATAAATAAATTAAAAATTATTAAAATTAAAAATATATAAAAAATACCATGAGTTGTCCCAGTATCAGTAATAATATAATCTTTATTTAACATTATGCTACATAAAAAATACAAAATACAAATTCCAAATATAAAATTCCAGATAAACGGAAACCAAAAGCCAAACACACAGAAATCAGAATTTTGACAATACATGGCGTCTTAAAAGTCTTTTAAATTCATTAAGAGTGTCACAGTTTTTAATATCATGCGGTAATTTGTTAAAATGATTTAGGCCTTTATGTAATATAGAGTTTTGTACTTGACTAGAATAACATTCTCTTAACATAAAATTACCACAATTCCTTGTATTGTAAGAATGAATGTCTCTGAAATAGGTAACTTTTTCACAAACTGTTTAATTTTAAAAATAAATACATAGACATTAAACATTACTTTTTGTTTTACAGGCAAGAATTTAAGAACACTCAACATACTTTGAATTGGCGTATATCTGTTACACTTTAGTATATTTCTCATGGCTCTATTTTGAACAATTTGCGATTGCTCTAATTTATAATTAAGCAAATGGAACACAAGTGTGGAATAAAATTCTAAATGGGGAGCAGCTAGGCTGTTATACAATAAGATTTTGGTGTCAATTGACAAATTTTTCCCTATTCTGGATATAAAATTAATCTTTTTAGAAAATTTATTCATTATGAAATCGGCATGTGTATGAAACGTCAAATTTGAGTCAAATATAACACCCAGATATTTGGTTTCGTTTTCAAGAATTAATTTTTTGTTGTTAATATAAATGTTTACCAAAAATACAAAATTTTGACTTGTGCGTGTTTATAGAAAGGTTATTATTGCACAGCCATTCAAAAGCTTTCTTCAGATCTGCATTCATTTATCTTTGCGTTTCATCCACATTTTCACCCACAATAAAAATCATAGTGTCATCCGCAAATAATACCGCTTTAGTATCATCTAAAATATTTACAATATCGTTTATATACAAAAGAAATAACAATGGTCCCAAAACTGTCCCCTGAGGAACACCATGTTCCACAGTTATGCAATTTTTATGTTTCGTTTTTTGTACCCTACCTGTTAAATACGAACAAAGCCATTTATACGCTGTTCCCTTAATACCCAATTTGTACAATTTTCTTAACAGTCTAGTTCTACTTATTGTTTCGAAAGCACGCTTAAAATCCAAAAAATACAGCCAATACAAATTTACCATCCTCCAAGGCCCGCAAGAAATCATCACCGACAGTAACGACGACAGATTCGCATGAATGTTTGGATCGAAAGCCCGACTGGTTAGGCACTAAAATATTGTCAAAGTCATTTCGTTTTTTTTGGGGAACATGAAAGACAGTTTTCGTATAATGAATAAATATTTTATTAAATTATATATTGGGCATTCTGGTCCAACACCTTTTGCCATCTTTCTGGCAGTAACATAATTCCCCTCTCATAAAAGTTTTGGTCCTTGCTGGCAAAAAACTGGTTCAGGTGGTTTTTGACATCTTCATTTGAGGTAAAGGTTTTGCCATCCAAAAAATTTTGCAGGGACCGGAACAAATAGTAGTCGGAAGGCGCCAGATCTGGAGAATATGGTGGATGTTGCAGTACGTCCCATTCAAGCTGTAAAACTTTTTGGCGAGTGACCAAACTTGTGTGAGGTCTCGCATTATCCTGGTGGAACACTACACCCTTCCTGTTGATTAATGCGGGCCTCTTCTCTTTAAGTGAATCATTCAATTTGTCCAGTTGATGACAATAGACTTCTGAATTAATCGTTGTATTGTCCGGCAAAAGCTCAAAAAAAAAACGATTCCTTTGACATCCCACTAAACGGAGAGCATCACCTTTTTTTGGTGAATGTTGGCTTTTGCCACGCTTTGAGCCGGTTCATCTTTTCTGCTCCATGACCTCTTGCGTTTAACATTGTTGTATACAACCCATTTTTCGTCCCCAGTAATAATCCGACGTTTGAGGAGCGAATCACACACGTCAACGCGACGACACAAATTTCGCTCCGTAAGGACATGGGGCACCCACACATCGAGCTTCGAGGTTAAGCCCATGCCTTTCAAATGGCCATAAACAGTCGAATTCGACAAATCTAATCTCTCACCGGTCTCTCGTGTGGTTATTCGCCGATTTGCATCAACTAATGCCTTTATCGCATCTTTGTCAGCTTCGACCGGCCTTCCAGACCGTGGTGCATCTTCGACATCAAAATTGCCGGATCGAAATTTTGCAAACCAGTTCTGGCATTGGCGTACTGTTAACACGCCTTCTCC